AGGTGTAGACGCTGAAGCACTGGGAGACCGCTCCTGTTGATGAGGCTGCTGCTGCTGTCTATCCTGTGATACTGGTCGTGGCTGAGCTGGCGACGGACTCTCTCTTCGCCTTGAGATGTGCGTGGGAGAAGGGACTCGGTGCCGCCGCCTGAAGGCCTGCGCAATACGTTCCGTCAACTCGTCTTCCTGCGTAGGTGTCAGACTGTGCAAGTCGATGCCATCCAGCAGTCCTTCTTCTGCGATTTGGCGTAGGATCTCGTCCTCGATGGCCGACTCGCCCGTTGACCCAATAAGCGACCGTAAGCTGGACTGATGCTCAACCCTTCTCGAATCCGGGCTCATGTCTCGAGGGTTGCGCATGGCAGGCGAGGCATTCATTCGCCTTTCCGCCCGCCGTCTCCGCCTAGCATCTTCCACCCGCTGCTCCCTCGCCTGTGCACCAGGACTGCGCTCCGATCTTCCTCTTGAGCGCGGTGCTAACGGACTACGATGGCGACGCCCGCTGCTGCCGCTTCCACTACCGCTGGCTCCCTGAACATCCCGCAGACTCATATCTCTGACCTCAGCTAGGAGCCTCTCATCCTCATCGTCACTTGCGGATCGCACTATCTGCCCAACTTCGGGCAGCACGGAATCCCCATGTTTGTACTCCGATGCGATCTCCTCCTTCTCCTCAGCCGACTTTACTTGATCCGGGTTTGACTGGAGGAAGAGATCGAGCAAGGTGGCCACTTTCGCATCGTGTCTTGTATCTCGAACAGAGGCTCGACATGATGGACATGTAAACCGCGGTCTGTTGCCATCCGTCGGATTCGACGCCTGCCATGAGAACCAGCTTTTCAAACACGATCCGCAAAATGTATGTAGGCAGTCGAGCAAGGTCAGCGGCTGGTAGAGAATCTCGGTGCATATCTATCTTGCGGTCAGAACAGTCGCAATACCATAACAGAAGTGAGAAAAACAACACTCACAGAGCAAGTCAGCTCTTTTCCCAAGTCTACCAGCGCCGAACTGCCCTCCTTAGGCTTTTCCATCCTCCCAGAGGGCGGCTGTGGTGTGGTATGTGTAGTTGTATAAGCAAGCGGACCGCAGTCCCAGTCCCCGTATGTGCGTCTACCGCCGGTCAAAGTCGAGCATGGCTTCTCGCTCGAGACGCCAGCCAACTACCGTAGAGGAGGAGATACGAGAGCCGAAGTAATACCGAGCGTCCTCGCTAGCACTGGCATATCATGGCGGTGGTGGTGGTGGTGGTGGTGTTGTCGGCGGCTTGTCGCTGGCGGATGTTGAAGAATCCCAAGATGTTTCTTCCCTTCGCCTGAGACAAAAATATGTCACACCCCCACACACAAGACACGCAAAACAAGCGACTTCGTGACCTTTTTCTTGTTTTTTTCCCATCTCCCGTTGACTAGAGGCATTCGCGATGCAGAATGGACAGTTTGACCGGCTTGACAGTCTCTGACCGTGTTTACTGCGGTGCGCTGTGGGAGAGTCCTGCACTGTCGCCGAAGGTGCTCTGGTGGGCGAGGACCAGCTAGAAGGACTTTTTATATCATAATATGATAGACATTGCTAATTCTTGTGGGCCAGATAAAGAAAGGAGATTATAATCATAGCTACAGCCTGCTAGACTGCGCCCCTAGCTTTGCGAAGATGCTCGTGGGTGAATGCTAGTTTGACCCTCTGGCCATACGGGAGTCTATACAGGAGGCCTACGTAACTGTTGAGAATGGATATACCACAAGACCACGGAGGGAATGATGGTTAAAACGGGACAAAGATAACTGGCAATAAGTGTTTTCATGCCATCTGTATATGGTACACCAACGCATGCTGTGTCTTCCGGAATTCGTGGAGTTACTTTTTCCCACTATCAATACAATATTCGTCGAAAAGCAACCTCATCTGGCAAGGAACCCGGTATAAAATACCCATATCTCTTATCTATCAAAGAATCATGACCTGGAGGCTTAGGATGGACGCTGATATTGCATCTGGAGATATCATATCATGTATGGCTATAATACTCCGGAAGCCTTGAGTCCAAGGCTAACTATAACTCTGGAGTATCCCCTCAACTGTAAGGACAGGGTCTATCCTTAGACGAAAGGGGCTCTCCTTTCATGGTTCTCCATCTTGGAGTTAAGGATATGTTTACTACTTTGGATATCGTTACAGCCCCTTGGATATATGGATAGATGTTACCAGACTCACAATTATCCTTTAATATTCAGTCTACTCTTTCCACAATATACCAATATGCCGAAGCTTGATAACTTCACTTGAGCTAGATACAACCTGCTAAGATATCACTGATCTTCACATGAGTTGCTCTGATATTTTACTTCTTTTGTTTTTCACCTACAGTTCACATCCGCTACCAGCTACATCTTCAGTTTGCCATCTTTATTCTCGTTCGCTACCTGCTTACACTAGTTCTGGTTCAAACTACTAGTTACCGTTCATTGACTTGCTTATCGTATATTCTACACTTATCCGGGTTTACTACCACCTAGCAGCTGAATTCAACGTTAAAGTGAAGCATGTTCCGTGCTAAAAATATACAGGCCAGCAAGCCCTTGGGCCTTCAGCCTCGTTCCTCTACATCAATTGCTGGCCGTCAAACAGGTCGTCTTTCCCTGCAGCAATACGCACAACGATCCAGCCAAATCTCCCGCCCAAGCCCATCTAGCCAACGAGGCAGCGGCGAGCAGCTTTTTAGACCTCCTGCTAATCTCAATTACCTCTTCAACGTTGACAGCAACGAAAATGACTCTAATGGTAGCACTAGCTCCGAAGAAGACGAAGACGATGATGATGTTGAAGCCCAGGATACAAAAGAACCCCCTGAAATTGTTGACTTGACCGGGAATAGCCAGGAAACTGCTACTCCTCCAAATATTAACGATCTAAGCCCCATCAAAAGCACGAATTCACTGAATCAAGAGCCAACAAAAGTGGAACAACTGTCCCAATCATCTCGACGTTCTACCAGCTCCAGCCAAACGCGTATGGGTGATGATGAAGCTGAATCGTGGTTACAGTTACGCCTTGCCGAAGAAGCAGCTAAAAAGAAGCGTACAATATTTGCACCCCTTCCACCTGTTAGTTCTCAACAACGACCACACCCACCATCTCCAACCCCCATCCGGCTCACGGATGCGGCATGGGGATCCCAAAGCCTTCGCCGTAAGCCAAACATATGGGTGTCTCCAAGTTTTTTACCTGTGGACCGAAAGCATGCAGCCTGTCTGGAGAGAATAGATGCTATAGAAGCGGCTTTCAAAAGGCTTGAACAAATTGGGCTAATGAATGAACGGTCTAGTATTGAGAAGATGGAGTTTGAGAACTTCAAGGCGAAATTTGATGCAAAAATACCCCTGACTAGCACAGAGAGGAGAAGGTTGCATGATATCCAGCGGAATATCGAGCGCAGGGAGTACAGCTGGTCTGTTAATAAAATGGCTCTGGAAAAGAATATTGTCAAGAAGAGGGGTTATTCGGCTGTCAATACATCGGCAGAAGCCAATGTTAGTGAGACGATCACATCTCCCAGGAACCCCGATGAACCCAACCCCTCCTCATCAAGGAGAAAACGTCCAACTAGCCATGCGGCTGAGCAAGCCGAACTAATACAGGAAGATGACAAATCTGGTATGGAAGTCGAAACCACAGATGACGAAGAAGACGATGATGATCCCGAAGACGCTCAGGAGGATGACGCACCGGAACCAGTCTGGGCCTACCATGTTTTCCGCACTGAAATCGATCCAGCAAATCCAGACCCAACACCCGTCTATATATCATCACATCTCAGCAGACTTCGTGCAGAGAGCAAGATGCGAGACCAAATATCAGCCTGCTACGGCAACCTGAAGGAACGCACCCGCATGGAATTCCGCGCAACGTTCGAAGAAGACTTCACTGAGCAAGCAGTAGAGTTTGCATCTGGTCGCATGGTAATAGTGCGAGTTGAACGCGAAATCCACGAAGAACCAGTAAAACGCAAGAAAAGGATTAAACTGGAGCGTATACCTACCAAAATATATACCATAATCGAGCAAATCCGAACCACCCCCGTTGGTGATATCACCAGTGAGCACCCTGCCAAAGCTGAAGTACAGAGCACAAAATACACTGAGATGTCTGAATGTTTTATACTCCGCAAAGACGCCAACGCCCATGCCAATCGGCTCATGCTTGCTCATCTTACCAGTCATCTAGATGCGGCCGAACGGTTCAACTCGGATGTGACGGGAGACATTGATATGCAGGCTAGGCTGTACCTGCATGAACTAGACGAGGGGGAGAGGTTATACGATAAGAAACATGTCCTTCCTGAGGTGGAAAGTGGGATGCGAAAGGAGGTATCCATCCGTGTCTTGGAACATCTTGTTCGAGGGCCGAGGAACTAGTTCTAGTCTTCAAAGTATCAAACCACACTCTGAAAATTTAAACCACTTCAGCTTAGGAGGAATATTATCATCTGTTAATCTGAAATTCATGCCTTGCGTACCAGGACTCTTTATTCATCTAACATAATTCACTTTTCGATCAAATTAATTTCTTCGTCTTTTCGTCTGATGTTTTTATTAAGTTTACAATTTCTTATTAATAGAGTTACGGATTAACCTTGATCCAATTAAGGTTAATTTTGATGAATAAGCAGCTTAATCGAGAACCACGTGATCGTCATCTCAGCCGCGGCGTTATTGAGGAGAAGAAGAACAAGAAGAAAACAAAGAAGAATACGACAAAAGACAATTTGAGGACAATGGGACAATAGGGATTGCGAAGTTAAGGGGAGACGAACAAGGACGACGAGGGCCGATAACCAGGCTGTGCATTGCACCATTGGATAAGAATCGAAAGGGAAAGAGGCACAAAACACTTCCCATCCGGAGCTCTGCTTCTAAACAACTCGTAACCCACGACACAAGCGATACCTTGTTACGGAGTACTCGAAGTCTCATTGAATTGAAGAAGAGAAAGGGGACAAGATGACGACCTCTACTGCAGTTCCAGCGTTTACCGCTGACCTTCCGACGCTGCTCTCCATCACGGCCGCCCTCTCAATAATGCCTCTATCCTACCTCCTAGGCACCGCCCTTATCCCTTCCAACCAGCTTCGCAACCGCCTCCTTTTCTTCTGGCATGCCTACGATGCCGGAACTCATCTCTTGATTGAGGGATCATTCCTCTACCACTGCTTCTTCAGCTACAAGCAGCTTCAGCCTGGCGAAACCATTCCCGGCGTCTATGGACCACCTTACTTCCTTAACAGGCCAGATAGAGCCTATGGTCCCGCTTACGGCGTGGGAGCCAGTGCTAGAATGTGGCAGGAATATGGCAAGGCGGATGCACGCTGGCTAGGTGCTGACCTGTGCGTGGTCTGCCTAGAGATATTGACGGTATTAATTGGGGGTCCGCTGGCAGTTTATATCTGCTACTTGCTAACCAGGTCTTCGTCCCCGAGTGCTACAGCTGCATCCAAAGCGAAGTACTCTAGCTGCCTGTGGTTTTCATCCATTATCTTGGCCGTGGGGGAGCTGTATGGCGGGTTCATGACCTTTGGACCAGAGTGGTTCTCGGGCAGTGTTGGCTTGGAGACGAGCGATCCGGTCTATCTGTGGCTCTACCTGGTTTTCTTCAACGTCCTTTGGGTCATTGTTCCGCTCTGGGTGATATCTGTTGCTTGGGGAGAGATCAAGGCTGCTTTTGCGACCGCTGCTGTTGCGAACGAGCAAACCGCTAAGAAGCTCAATTGATAGCTCTATGATTTGATTATTCTGTTCTCCTATTACAAGATTTGATGAATTCTTTTGACCGACTTACTGAGATTTTCCATATTTAATGACTATACCCTATTTCAGTATATATAAATCGATGTTATACAGCACTGCCGTTCGAGACTAGCACTTCAAGAGTTATTCCAGGACAGACTTCGAAGACCTCGCGAGTAAGCTAGATAGATATAGACTGTGCCATAGGTCGCTGTTGGTTTGATATATACTGGCCTCGTTCCATGATTCATATGGCAACATATCAAAGACAAACGCCTGAATATCAGGATTCTAGTCGTTTAACAGTCTCCGAGCTTCATCCCAATCAAGTCTGCGGTATGGTTTCTATATTTCTATACTTCCCCCTTAGCTCCTCCCTGGCCAGCCGTAAATCCAGCTTCAGGGGCTCATCAAGTATTTTGACTGCTCCGATTCTCGAGGCCCGAGATGTCTACTCCAGAATAAGAACGGACGAGAGGGCGTTCGAGCACTTGAGATACATGTTCGCTGTCGCTATCATGCAGGCTACACCCAATCCGCCGGTTCCGCCGCTGTTGTCCCCTGTCTGCCTGCTCCAGCGCTTTCAGGGGCTTCAAGGCAGCCCACAGCCACAACGAGAGTCAACATCTGCTTAACTGCCGACCGTGCCACTGCCTGCGTCGATAGTTAGAGAGCACCAAGGACAGGACAAGGACAGGCACTGCCACAGCCAGTGTTGGCGGTGGATATAAACACGAGAAATTGAGGATTGGCATTCGTGATGAGAAGCGCCGCTTTGGAGGGGCTGGAGGATCTTGGGTTTAGGTCGCCAGTTATTTATTTAACCAGCCAGATCCCCAGCAACACCTAACTAGTTAACTACCAGGTACATAGTTCACTAAACCATCCATTTTACCCGCACTGCTGCAACTCATTACTAGCTGCGAAGGGCATATATTGTTAATCATCCTGCTCCGGACCAATTACTGCGGCTCTTGCTCGCTTTTGCTTCCGTCATGGCTGGATATCCCCCGCCAGGCCGTATGTTGCGCCCAAACCAGCCCCCTATACGCACAACCCCCTTAGCCCATTATTTGTGAAGCCGTACTAATTACGATATGTCTAGAGTACCCCTATCCACCGCAGGGTGGTGCGCCGCCTCAGGGATACCCTCCTTAGGGCTATCCTCCTCATGGTCAACCACCACCACAAGGACAGCACCCCCCACAAGGACAGTACCCTCCGCAAGGCCAGTATCCTCCCCCTGGAGGCGCGCAAGGCCAATACTACCCACCGCAGGGACAGTATCATCCCCCTCAAGGGCAGTACCCTCCCCATGGCGGCCCTCCTCCTCCGCAGGGACAGTATGGCGCCCCTCCACCGGGTGGTGCCCCGCCGTACGGATATCCGCCTCAGGGACAATATCCTCCCGCACAAGGATACCCACCTCAAGGCTATCCTCCGCAAGGCTACCCTCCGCAGAGATATCCCCCTCAGCCGGGGTATGGTGCACCACCTAGCGGGCCACCAGCACCTCCGTCTCCGGGCTACGTGCCAGGCCAGATGGCACAAGGAGACGCCAGTAGAGAAGCTGACATTCTGCGCAAAGCCATGAAGGGCTTCGGGACTGACGAGCTCACACTGATAGAAGTTCTTGCAAGGCCAGACCCGCTTCAAATGGCTCTTATCTCACATACCTTCAACTCTCGCCACAAGCGCAACCTGGAAAAGGATATCGAAAAGGAATGCGGAGGAAAGTTTAGAGATGTTATGATGGCTCTTGTACGCGGACCCCTGATGCAGGATGTCCACGCTATCAACAAAGCCATCAAGGGTATGGGTACCAATGAAAAGCTGCTCAATGATGTGCTACTTTCCCGCTCCAACGCAGACATGAATGCCATCAAGACAGCGTACAAGGCCACCTTCGGGCGTACCCTCGAGGCAGATGTACGCGGTGACCTGTCCATGCAGACAGAACAATTCTTCAACTTGGTTCTAGCCGCAACTCGTTGCGAAGAAAGTGCTCCTCCAAATCAGTACCAGCATGACCAAGACATGTCGCAGCTCTGGGGAGCCATGGGCGGCAATACAGGTGTACCCAAGAACACAGTCTGGCAGATCCTCACCCAGCGATCCAACAACCAGATCCGTGCGCTTTGCGATGACTTCCCCAAGAAGCACAACACTGCTCTCAGCGCGCAGATCACAAGCCATTTCTCTGGCCATATCCGTGATGCACTGGTGTACATGCTTGGCAAGGCAGTTCAGCCTGTCATGCACGATGTGCTGGCGTTGGAAGATACCATGGCTGGCATGGGCACTAACGATTGCCTTCTGATCGAGAGACTGGTGCGTATTCACTGGAACAAACACCACCTTGAACAAGTGAAGCAGGAGTTTGAGAAGAAGTATGGCAAGCCGTTGAGATCGCGGGTGGCCGGTGAGACCAGAGGGGATTACGAGAAGGCTCTACTTGCTATGCTCCAGTGATAGAAGGGGTCGGATGTCTGAGTCACCAAGTGTCCGCTGTTGTTGGCTTTGTCTAATTTTCTCCCGGTTACGAATCCGCTCTTATGAGTATATGGGAGGATAATCCTCTTGTTGAAAAGGTTCTTGCGTCTTGTAATATTTGTAAGAATTAATTGGAATGTTAGTAGAAGAGGTAATGTATTGATAGTATTATGTAGTATTGTGATGCTACCAGCAGTATCATTCCAGATGAATGGATATGGGAAGAAAGACCAGAGCCTTTCGACACATAACTAGCAATGGAAACAGATAAGATAGATGAGACAAAGGTATGCCAGAGTCAACACCATCGAAACACAAGGTCATCACTTCATCAGCATAAGAAAACAGGAAATCGAAAAGAAGCCCTCACTGAAGGCATCAGGAGACCTAGCTCTGACAATTAAAAAAACTTCCCCCCGTCTCTTATTTACTTGTCATGGTCTAGAAACTTCCCAACATGGTCTCTCACGCTGAAACCGTTGAATAGCCAGTCATTTCCATGTCTGCCAACTTGCGTCATAGTGCTGCTGCGTCTCTTGTGATTAGAGCTGCTGCTCTTGCGAGAATGGCGCTTCTTCTTTTGACATTCGTCGGCTGCCGAGTCTGGAGTGTTCAGCTCCGGGCTCACCATATGTGTGGGCGAGGTAGTCTGTTGGCCGCCATGGGTTAGGTGATGAGATGTGCTGGTATCAATTGGAGCTGGAGCAGGGGACTTTGGCCGAGACTGGGAACGAGACCGGGAGTGAGAGAATGAGCTGAAGAAATGGCCTCGGGAGGGAGAGGTGGGTGGCTCTAGGTGGGAGCTTGCAGTTGGCGGAGAGGTTGTTCCGCCCAGGCTGGATCCCCTGCTGTGACGGTGGAAGAAGTGTGGCAACGACGAAGAGTGAAGGGGAGTCTTCGACGTATCGCTGTTCCCTGAGCAGGTTGTGGAAGTAGAGAGGCTTGGGACGGAGGAAGAGGTCGACTGAGTCGTCGCCTGAGCCAGGAATGGTGGGCGATCAGGCATTGTTGCTGTGGCTTGCTCTTGTCCAGAACAAGTGAAATAGGGTGTAGAAGTAGATGTATGTCGTCCAGCAACTTAAGCCGTGCAAATCAATTACAACTCCGGTCAGCAAGGTACTCTGTATACGAGCAGGAGTGAAATTAAGCAGGAAAAAACTCTTGCGTCTAGCAATCGAACGAGAAAAGAGTGGTAAGTCACGACGCCCTGCGTCATAAGAAGATGTCTCAGATAACTATTAGTTAGGGCTAGAAGTCGGTAGTCGGTGAATAAACAGGGAAGCACAAGAACAATCGAGGGGGGCGATCCGGTTGTATTTATGCTCTCAAATTCAAGCGAGGATGCGCTGGAACGAGCCGGTCGATGACTCTCTGCGAATGGCCTGCTAGACGAACGCTTGAGACATCCACACAAACGGTCATCGGCCGTGACGTATGTAGCTGCTGTGACCGATTCCCAACCTCTCCCCCTCCCTTTGACTGGGGGTGATCTCCAGCTGTGGAGAAGCTGGTTCAGCTAAGAATAGGCGCAGTGAATCTGGGCTTCCCTTTATGACTACGTTCACGGCTTCGGCACCTTCATCATGGTCGGAGAAGCAATACGACAGCGAGAGAATAATGAATATTCCTCAAGACACTCAGGCCGCGGCCGGGCGCCTCTTGAGCCGCATGTCCACGCATGTCAAGTTGTCACCTGGCTCGGCGTGCGCAAAGAGTTTGGTAGCAAACAAGCCGTTCTCTCCACGCTGGCAAGGAATCGCATGCAAGTTTGACTTCGTTCTAGCAGCTGGTCGGTCTCGCGGCAATCAACTTAGGCCCGGTAGGAGATAGTAAATGTGATAGTTAGCGCAGACATCCGCGTGACATTGGCCCGATACTCCGGCTGGTTATCTCGAACTGCTCAGAGAAGCAAGCGCTGGAAGGCAGTCAGGCATCTTCTCGGCACGCTCATCTTCAGCCCTACCGGTTCCTTCGAAAGGTACGGGCATTCCTTGTTGTTGTGCTTCCCTGGTACCACAATATGACGCAGTGTCGATCCTTCAAGAAATATGGGAAGTCCAACACGACCTATTAACTCCTCGGAGGCCGCATTTCCTCCCTCTAAGCGGTTTCCTAGAAAATTATCGTCTTTTCGCTCCAGATACTCGGCAGAGATAGCCGTGGCCGGACAACAGATTCGGATTTCGGGGTGGATCGAGATGTTGGTTGTGTGATCTCCGTAACTAGTTAACGTCCTCGTATTCAGGGCCGTCATTGTGCGCTGTTCTTGGACATCATGTCCGCGGAGCCCTAAGGCAACCGGGCGTAGTTATTCAGAGTTCCGAACGACTCTCAATTGCCGGCATTTCGTGTCTTTATGGCTTGTGTCTTTTCATCATCGCGAGAAGTGTCGTTGAATTCGTCGTCGTCGTCGTCGCTAGAAATCGATATCAACATAGATGACTAAGCCTATATCTCACGACAGCAACTTCTCTAATCCCATGGAAATATCAGGGTACAGAATACACCTTCAAGGCCTATATTAGGTATCTCTTGTATCTGTGATGCGTGTTGAACCCAGCACGATACGGCTATACTATTCGGCTACCAACATCATAATATCACATCGTCCATACTGGAAATAACCCCATCTACAACACCTGCGAAGTATTCCGTTCATGCACAGTGGGCACAGCCGCTCGTGCATCCTTTGCTGCAGTGCTCTAGATATCTGGCACTGGTTGGAGAGAGACAATCGTACAGACCCTGGAGGTCAGGGACATTTCCCCATCCTAATGCTCAAGGTTAGGGCAAAGCAAGAACAACCACGGAAGGGGTGAAATACGTACCAAGGCCATCAGCAAGATACCATCCAGAATAGTTGTAACCAACGTTACAGGCTTGAGCAGGAACTAGGTTGTTGCCGTTGCTGGGAGTTGCCTCTTCTTTCAATGCTGCGCCGTTCGCAAGGGCAACGAGAGAGAGGGTAATCAGCGAAATGAAATGCATTGTTGCAGATTCGAGACAGAAATGTCTGTGTTTTCACGGGATCGGGGTGTGACTGTTCGAAGCGTTCTCAACTGTAGCAGTTGTCGAGATTGTTTTGGCTGATGAAGATCACATTCTGCACTGGAATATGAACTCCCTATTTATACCCAGAGAAGTCATAGAGGATGAGGTATATGGGACACTTCCAGGCCATCAGAGATTGAATAATTTCAAGCTCTATAGACCACGGTCTGTGATTTCCGTCGGGATCACAATTCCAATACGAGACTCTGCCATCTAACTGCAGCGCAATTCCATGTCGACTATCCGGAAGAAAGCACTCGTTTCATAGATATTGGGTATGTTATTCCATGAAAGTGTCATATACTTCTCATTGATATCCGCTGTATAATCCGGGGAGATGGCCGGGTATAGAGGCCCTTGGCTAGAGAATGAATATTGGAGCATGAAAAGCGCAAGGTTGACATCAAGAATCTTGCATACAGAACAGACAAACAGGCCCATTTGCCAATATATATTGTGGCTTCGGAGGTCTGATCAAGAACTGTAGCTGCACGGATATATAAAGTCGGTTTATATGCCTATCCAGTCGTCGTTTAATATATTCTACTTCTCCAACCCCGGGACGAAAGTCAATAAGCGAAACTGCAAGGCCCCTATTGGACTTCACAGTAGATATAAGGCATTCATCAGGTAGCATGGCCGGCCTGGATGTCAACCTGCTTTCAGGTATTAAACTGCGAGGCTTCAAGCATACATATTCTCTTCCGACATAGTCCGTAAGCCATCAAATTATTACCGTTAGTTGATTCAGGGCCAGCCTGCTGGTATGACCGGATTACCCGGAACAAGCCGAGGAAGTTATAGGGCATGACTGGCTTCCCCAGACTCGGGATATCATCCCTGTTAAAAAACACTCGGCTGGAAGCTGGCTGAGGTGTAGGATGTAACTAAATGCAGGGGCGAGTTTTGGGATGCCCAGCACGCAGATGTTAGTATGAAGCCAAGAAGTGAGTAATGCGGCCCAAAGCACGTCCGATAAGAATCGAAAGAAGACGCCTAGGCTTGTCCTTTCATGTTCTTCCATGTCATGGTAAAAAAGTATTTATTCACTTATGTATGGGGTGGAAAAAATAGAAATAAAAAAGAAGTAAATGCGCTCCCTAGCGGGGAATCGAACCCCGGGCACGAGTGTGAGAGACTCGGATGTTACCTCTACACCACTAAGGACGGTTGATGTGTGGGTTGGGGCCTCGGTTGTCTAAGAGGCCAAGCATCATTTGTAGATCATGTGACCACTTGGATGAGCAACCACTCGACGACATTGGCATCAGAGTCTGACAGGACAGATATTATTGTTTTATACTTAGACCACGGATGTGTTCTTAGACGGCCAGGATAGTTCCCAGCTTGTCGGCTTGCATGGTACTTCTATGCTCGCTCCTTGTCTTAGCCCAAGGGTGCCAATGACTTGTCAATAACTGGCCAATATTGCATGCCTAGAAAAGCTGGCATTTGAAAGGACCCTCCATCTCTGGCTGTATAAGATACGAATTATTGGCAGCATGACAAGTTATTACTTTGGGAGACGCTGGATGCTGGCCTTGGGTTCACTTGGCTCTCCACTGCCAATGGGCCTGAACGCCAACTCAAAGGACGTGTTCATGGGTACTAAGAAGTAGAGCCATGATGGTCTGTCTTGTCTTATCCGTCGTGAATATTTCGCTTGCACGACGTGATCGGAAAGATGATAGAACAGGCAAAATCACTGAGAAGGGGCTAATCTGCTATTTTTCATCCGGTAGAAAGAGAAAGCTTTCGGATGGCTGATTTCTGTGATATCAAGGAAAAAATAAAAAA